TCTCTACCTGTAGTCAGGGACCATGGATTGAAATAGTAAATTATTCCTAGCAGATCAAATGGGCAATAAGACTGCCATCCACTTCTCCTCGTAAAACAAAGCAATAGATAAATAAAGGACAGCCGACTCACTTAACCCGCATGGCTCTGTGCACTGCTAATTATTAACCCAGGCACAAGACGGGTTCACCCAGAGTGTAGTTAAATCATTTTTAATAGAGGTAAACACTACCCGTGTGGACGAGCCGTACTCAAGAAAATTTCTCATCAGCCACGTTTAGGAATCATCCAGCCTAATTGCCATAACTTATTAATAATAATAAATAATCTAGTCTTTTTATGGCCCGGGTCTCTGGGGACTCCATGCATTACAGAGCTTCAGGGTTTGAATCCCTCCATAGCAGTGGGGGAGGAGCACACATCCTTGGTCTTCCATCAGGTTAAAAAAGTCAGATCTTGGGCTCTTCCCTCTTGTTTTCTTCCCACATCTGAATGGCCAGCTCACACATGGCCTTTCATCTGTCTCCAGGACCAGAAGGGCTCCAGGGGCTGCAGGGTGGGGGTTGGGGGCGAGGGGCTGGGAAACAGGCTTTCTTTGTTCACGTGAGTGATGGGGGTTGAGGTTTACTCCCTTGGGAAGTGAATCTGAGCAGAGCTTTGTCTGAAGGAGTTGGTTTCCTCTACACATCAGAGTCCCTGGTGTCCTGTGGGCTCAAGCTAATTGTGGCTGGGGTAGTGGTCACTGACAATTCCATGCTCTGCATTTGTTTAATCCTGTGAGGATGGAAAGTACTGCAGCATCTTGCCCTCAGTGTGGCTTTCCGTAGCTTAAATAACTGAGTGGACTTCGCCTTCCCAACACTGGAATGGTGTTAGAATACACCCCGCTCTGTAGCGAGGAAATAGGAGGTCAGAGGGAGCAGGTCATCTCCTGAATAATTCTCTGTGGTTGGTTAGACTGAAATCAAAATGTCATACTCCCGTTCCGGCGCTTTGATCTTTAAGAGTGACTACAGCTGATGATTTGGGAGCAGAGACCATGCACACAAACACTAGAGCAGAGAATGGTGTGATGAACTTTCCAGGCTAATATCTTGTAACATCCATTGATTTGGGGGAAATGCATGTGCGGTGGGGTGTAACATGTAGCTAAAACACATGGAAACTGTCAGGTCCCCTCTTTTCCCTCACTTATTTGCACTGTCCCATCTACAAATCATTCCAGCTTGAGCTTGGGTGGCCGTTTCTGTCTGGGAACAGAACATTTTAAAAGAAGGTGTGCAAGCCATTATTACAGAGGATGAGATGATTTATGCCACAGACTCTGAAAACATAAATTTAGAGTGTAAATTATAAGACAACACATGTGTAGTATCTGTATTAGTGTTTATTCAAATTTACTGTGAATAAAAAGTGAAAATGAAAATATGGCTGGAAATTTTTTTGAAAAAACAGCACCAACCTAAACATGTACATTAGGCGGGCTTTGGGAATGGAAGACCTTCATAGCATTTCGTGCACATTTGTCTGCAAAGATGTGAAGGACACAATAGGAGTGGGAGGGAAAAGACTGGTAAATCACGCCTGGGTTCCCTTCCCCCACAACCTGCTGATACTTTCCAATGATTCAAATCAATTCTGAGTTTTGAAGTGCTCCTTGTCAGAATCATGGAGAGGAGGTTGAGGATTCTGGACGGATGTGGAGACTGGATCTGTGTTTGAGAGACTAATCTCATTTCCCCGATGTTTCCAAGGTTGAAGGTTTTTGTCTCTATTCATTAAAGGGGAATGATAAATGTCTAATTTGGACTTTGCTAATAATCACAATGCGAGCATTTGAACTTAATTAAGGTTAAACGAGTCTCATATAGTCCTGGCTCAGCCTTGAACTCCATGCGTGACATTAGAAAAGATTTTTCTTTTTTCCAGGACTCAGTTTCCTCACCTGTACAGTAAGAGTGACAAGACGGAGTCCTCTTTCCCTTCCCTGTCAGCGTTGACAGTGTCAGGCGGTCTGGACCTAGGTAGGAGTTTAAGGTCCACTCTCTTATCCTCAGGGGCTCACAGTCTACATAAATAGTTATAATTTGAGCTGTAATTGCAACCTGCATGGATTACTCTAGGAACATACGTGGAAACACTGAGCTCCCTCTCTGTGGGGACATGCTCACAGTGGCTGTGACATTTGAAGGATGAGTAGGAGGAATCCGTCAGGAGTGCAGGCTGGTCAGAGAGTTGGTGTCCGACTGTGGGGTCCAGGAGGCAAGCGTGTGTAGACTGGTGTATTTCAGGAGCTGCCCACAGCCCTTTGCTTTGTCCCTGGGCTCTGGCATCTCACTGCTGGGCCAGAATTTGTACTGAAGATGAACTGCCAGGGTGAGAGGGTGCAGTATGACGTGCACAGGAGAGGTTGTGCCTGCTAGAACTTCCATATTCTTAAGTCCCTTACGTAAATGGCACGGTTCGTGCTTAACTATAAATACCTTCTTGTAAACTTCAAATCTCTTATACAGTAAGTGCTGCATAAAGAGCTTTGATAGTGTATTACGTGTTACTTAGGACATAATAACAAGGAAACATGTTTGTCCATGTTTAACACAAGTTCTTTTTAAAAAAAAATACCTTCAATCTGGTTGGGTGAGTCTGAAGATGTAGAGCCCACTGAGAATGGGCTGGCTGTGTAAATCAGAGCAGAGTCAGTGTAATGGCAGATGCAGCCTGTCCACATCCCACGTGGCTCTCCTCAGAGTTAGGAGAAGTATCACAAGAGTTCCTCACCCAAGCCAAAGCGACTCTGAGAGCATGTGTACTGGTGGGAAGGAGAGAGAGAGGGTGGGTATGAGGGTAATTAGATTTTGCTATATATGTGTATGAAATTGTCAAAGAAAAGGTTTAATTAATGAAATTGGAGGGTGTGTGCCTGAGTAGAATGAAATCTGCACCCTCCCGTTTTCCAGTGTGTTAATGTGCCAGGAGAATGTCTGTACTGTTCATGGCCCTTGGCCCTTTGTGACCCCGTGGGAGCTGGTGTTTCAGTGACACTAGTGTAAAGTTGATGCTGACAGTGTAGTTCTTACCTAGCTTCTAAATGAAGATAAGTTTAGTTTTAAATTGAGATTACAAATACAAGGTGTGCTCGTCGCTATAATATGTAAAATCTCATGTAAGATTTAAAAACCCAAATTCCAGCTGCTAAGGTAAGTAATATTTTTGTGACCATTGTTACAAGCCTCTCTTAAGGTAGCTGTGCACATGACACAGGCACATAAATGTACTCAGGGTATAGGCTCTATCTTGGCATCTGATATTTTCACTTGAAGTCAATCAAAGTCTTTAATCATTAAAAAAAAGAAAAGCTGTGTGTGTATGGGGATTTGGGCATGCCTTGGCATCTATGTGAAGGCCAAAGGACAGATCTGAGGCGTCGTTTCTTCCATCTTTACATCGACTGTGGGGCCAGGCTTGGGTTGTCAGATTTGCATGACGAGGGCTTTACCTCCCCATCTCACCAATCCTCTTCAGTCATTCAAGCCACCGCACAGCAAGCCACGCACAGATCCATGACATTGATTCTCCGTTGACTGTTGGCAGCGTCCAGCGCTTTCCCATTGTGAGCAATACTTGGATGAACCTCTCTTCAGATTTCTTACATATCTTCAGGTGTTTTGCTGAATTAAATTCTATCAGTAGTTCTGTTCGGTCAAGGAATGCAGATTGGACGCTGCTGTATATGTTGCCATACTATCTTCTAGAAGCTTCCTTTTGAAGCCCCGCAGACAGAGCAGGTGCTGGCTCCTGTCTGGGTGATCCTGTGTCCCTGCTTCCTTTGTGTCTTGAAGATACCAAATGGAAAAAAAAAAGCATGAGCAAGTGAGAAATATCACTGGTGATTGGGAGGCCAAGCTCCCATGTACTGGGCACGTGTACCTGTGGTTGCTAAAAGATGTGGAAGAAAACACCTGTCTTCATTTCCTCATTGCTGAACACTGAGATAAGTTGAAAATTCACCAACATCAGGATGGAAAAATAATTGGTAGCATGCTTACACGTTAGAAATCTATGTAGCCATGAAAATGAATGCCCTGCCGTGTATTATATAATGTGACTGATTCCCATCTGCACTGTTGAGCAAAGAGGCTACACTTAGAAAAACGGTGCTTTACTGTCCATGTCTGCTAGATCCAAAGGTCAAAACACACTTGTCATTGGAAGTCCTGCTGGGAGGACACTGGTGACAGCATTTTTGTGTTTTCTTGCTGTGACTGCTAGTAACAAAAAACTTGGTACGTATCTCTCAAGATATTTGTTGGAAAAAAACCACAAAAGCATGAATACTTACTCATCTTTCTAACAGACTTTGGCCTAGGATTTGCTGTGAAGACACGGCATTCATGAGGTATAATGTGGAGAATGTATACATGTTTTGTTCATATGGTTTAAATAGGACTCTGGACTTATAGACCCTTTCTGTTTATGCTATTGTGAGGCATTGTTGTCTTCAATCAGGTAGCTTTTTAGAGCCTGGAGGATCTTCAGGATCATGTGGGCTTGGGTTTGATCCTGAGCTCCTGTGTACCAACCTTGTGGCCTTGAATGAGTTACCTAGCCTTCTGGAGACTCTGTTTCTCTATCTATAAAATAAGAACGATTCCAGAGCCTGTTTTGTAAGGCTGTCATAATAGTGACAACTGTGGATGCCAACATCCACCAACCATCCTGCTTGTTCCATGCTGAACACTATCCTAAGTCTACTTAGGACATGGCATGTTTAATCTTTCCCATCACACTGCCCGTGTTGAGGTTCAAGGGACAACAAACCACAGAGTCTGTAACTATCACTCCATGATTTAGACCCAGGTGCTCTCCACCTCTGTCCTGAGCTTGGTGCACAAGAGAGTACTGTTTGGAGAATATTTAGCAAAGCCAACGTGTGTGAGCCGATTGTCATACTTTCTTCTTCACTGTAATTAATATTTTCCTCTCTCTCCTCCCTGCCCTCAGATGTTTTCCAGCAAGGTAAGTGCCATGGCACCCTGTTGCTCTTCTGTTGGTTTTGTTCTGTGGGTGGTGGGACTCTGCCTTTTCTGAGGATGTGTCTCTGGAAATTAAGGAACCCTATAAGGATGGTGACTTGAAGTGCCGTCAGTCTCTCTGGGGCTCTGCATCTTCCTGTGAGCCATGTTTGGGGCTGGGGCTAGGTTTAGACATCTTGGGAGGAGGGCAGGGATGGTATGGGGCTTGGGAGGGGCAGGTGTCTCTGGAGGGGTTTGTCCTTCAAGAATCCTGGGTCAGAGGCAGCTCCTGCTTTCAGAGGGCTCCTTAGCCAGTTCCAATGGAGGTTTCTTTGATGAGCAAACATGTAGTCATGGTGGTGTGGCAAGAGCAGGCTGGCTTGCCAGTTTGTGCCCTCCAACCTAGCCATGCCACGTAGCCTCTCCAACTGACATGGAGTCAGGTGACAGGGAGTGGTGTCCACTGTTTTACAGGTCTGGTGAGCTGGAGACCCAAGTGTTTTCTCACTGGTGTCTCTGGCTAGGTTTTAGTCCTTGCTACATGTAGCCTTTGTGCTCTGGGGTCATGACCTGCCTAGAAACTTCTAGATGCACGTGGTGGGGGGAGTTGCCTTCCAGCCTAGTTTGGGTAATAGTGGCAGACATTTGTTGTTTGTGTGCAAGCTGGGAAATATGTCTGCTGCATCTTTCTGGAACCCAAAGCTGGTTTACAGTAAAGGTTTAAAAATACACCCAGGCATCCCATAAATAGCTTCCAAATACTCTTAGAGGCTTAGTATTTTTTTTTCACACAACTGTTATTTCACCCCAAACATGCCGCTCATGTTACAGAGACTATCTGCTCTCTGATAGGAGACAGGTTGTGGGTAACGATGAGGGTTCTGTTGTGTTGTCTTTTAAGAGTCTGGAGTCGTAGACCTGCTTTCATAAATAATTCAAAAAATTCCAACAAGCTATAAGCAGTAAGTTCCATTTGACTAGAGACTAAGAGATGAGCAAAATTGAAAAGGTGTCGTGGCTGTTGGTGTAATGAGAGTGCCGCTGTCAGAGCCCTTTGCTCCCGTGGGTTCCCGTCCTTGACAAATTGGGCAAGTGAGACACTTGGGGTGTAGAGCACCCCCTGCATATGAGCTGCAGTGTAAACACCACCCAACTCCAGATGGCATTTCTCTCCTCGAAACCGAAAGCACTTGAGGCTCTTGGTGAAGAGGAAAAGGACAGCCTTGCAGCAGGCCATCGTGAGCCTTCCTGAGTGCTGTGATTGATAGAAAGGACGGCGAGCCGACTGCTGATGTCAAGTTTGTGTTCTCCTTTCATCAGTCATGGAATTCGATTGATGAGATTTGCCTGTCAGCTGCAATGATACACACAGTAAAAGTTATAATCATCTACAAATCACTGGCTATTGAGACCTCTAATAGCATCCGAAAGAGGAAGAAGCCCATAGCCAGTAGCTGCCTGCAGCCTCAGGTGATGGAGGTGGCATCCCTCTCATAAGGTATTACCAGGGTTTGCATCCCTGAAGGAAACTGATGTGCCTCTCCATAGTCATCAGTTGCCGAGAGCTTCTCAGCTGAGGGTGGTACTTCATGAGCCCTTCCTCCTGCCTGCTGAGATTTTGGCTGTCTTGATCTTGTGCAAATCTTGTGCATGCAGCCACAGCTGCTTTGAGTTCATCTGGGCAACAGCACTGTCCTGCAAATGTTTCGCTGCAGATGACTGCTCCCTCTGGTCTTTAAGTCTTTTTCACAGTGATCCTGGGCTTTGATGTGATGTCGTTGTACCACTTAGAACCGTATATCCCTGTCTCGTTCTCTGCTGATGTACCAGTGTTGACTCTGGACCCATGCTCAAGTAGATGGTCCTATACCGGTGTACGCACAGGCAGCAATAAGTGTACTTAGTGAGGAGGTGGGGGAAAGCTTGGGAGGGAAAGGGGGGGTAATGGGGGGAAGAGCAGGAGAGAAGTTTGAGGAGAGAAAAAGAGGGGTAGATGAAAACATTATATGAATATATAAAATTCTTCAAAAAAAGTACACTTCCAAATGTATATACCAGATTCAGTATACCTAATTTCTGTTCATTGGTTTTAAATACTTTCCAACTTTCATGAAATTTATATATTTTTTATCCATATTTTGTATAGTGATTTTTTGACCCTGAGTGCCAGAACTTTGGAATTGCGTTTGTTGTTGAGATACTACAATACATAAAACATTTTTACGTTGAACACACACATAGAAGGTATCACTGGGACAATGGAATTATTGTTAATTATTTACATGGCTCTGCTCCTAAAGGGCCATTTTGTACTAAGACACCTCGGAAACGATGCCTGAGAGCTTACAAAGCTGATGCCTACTGTTCTCCCAGTGCCTGTGTTTCCTGTCACTCTAGCCGGGAAAATGATGCTCCAGATAAAGCTGACAGACACGGGAGACCAAGCCAAAGCATGCTGCATCCTATAGACTCTGGAAACATGAACGTTACAACCTGAAAGCTGGGAGACATACGTTGTGGTAGAAAGAAACAGCAGAAATCTAGTGTTGGCAAAGGAATGGATGCCACTGGGGTCATTTTCTAAAACCCACTTCCTGGTGGCCACTGACAGTGGCTCTGCCTTCCTGGACATATCCTGTGGCTGGGGCTTGGCCAAGGGGCTGGGTGGGTGGAAGAGACACTGCTCTGCAGGTGCACTTCAGCAGCAAGAGGAGAGGCCCGTCTGCCTGCAGGACGCCTGCGTGTTGGTGCTGCCGAGCTCCGTGGCAGGCAGAAGGGGGAAGCAGGCACACTGTTGACAACATCAGCATTCTCAGAGGAAACACAAGTTATTTCCTCTGGATTGCATTATCTTTTATTTCACTACAGATCAATCTTGTTACAGTAGGTGACAGCCCGGCAGCTACTGCTGGGCCTTTCAGGACGGTATGTGAGGTGCGTGCTTGTGGGAGTGTTTCTCTCTTGATCCAGTGACATTTTATGGCTTGTTTTGGTGCTTTCATCTAGAAATGCCACCGCGTGCTGTGGTGCTTAGGCCGTGGGGTCTAATGACAGTTAAGGACCAGTGAACCCACAGCCCAGTCTTTTCCAAATAAAGCACCAGAACCAGAAGATTACACTTCTGTTCCTCACAGAGCTCATAAGCCCCAGGTGGCTCTCCCAAGTTCCCAGGTACCACACAGTGGCTCTCCAAGCATGTACTGAGACACCATGTGTGGACACACACGTCTCTACTCTCCAGTTTTAAGAGCTCTTCATACCAATATTTGACGATGGCGAACAGGCCTACATGCACTTTCAAACACACTCCCACACATGCGTGCATGCTTCATTTGAAGCCGCTGAAGCGCCTTTTGAATATTCACTCATCCATAGATGCAACTTTGATTCCAAAATCGAACAGAAACTCAGCAAGCAGCTTCAAAATCAGAAAACCATTGCTCAGTGGGGCATTTGTAAATATACTTGGGCACAGTATCTAAATTTAGCCATTGAGTTAATTTTCTCTGTACTGAAGTCCCTGCATGATGTGAGACCAAAGAGGCAAAGCTTCCCCCACTCCAGTTTCTGCTTGGAGCTGGGCTCTTGTTAAGGAAGGTATGTCTCCTTTGTCATGTGTTTATCCTGCGAATAAGTGTCCGGTACTTTCTAGGCCTTGATGATCAGAGAGTGAACAAGACGGCAACATGTCTTTTTCATGGATCTCACAGTTGCGTGTGCAGGGTAGTTGGTAACCAAGGAAGCAAGGAAATGAAGCCATTTAGAGTATGTCGAGTGAAAGACTGTTCCAGGGTGATATTCTGGTGCCTACGAGGGACCCTTTATGTGGTATGGTTAGGGACGGACAAGGACAGTGGATTGGAGGGTCTAGGGGATTGTAGGGGAAGGGCCTGCAAAGGAAAAGCCCTTCGGGCAGCTGCCCAGTGTCCTGGGATCCAGAGGAGGCAGGCGTGACTGGAGCTGGTGAGTGGAGAAGACTAGAATGAGTGAGGAGGATGGGGAAAGAACGAGGTCTGGGGCTCGGGGAGGAAGCTGGAAGGGGCTCTTCGGTAGAAGAGCAGTGCAATCTTACTTACATGTTAAAATAACCCTTTTGGCTGTTGAGCAAATAAGTGCAGAGGAACAGAATCGATGTATGAAAACCAGACTAGAGCTGCATGCCCGGTGGGTCCAGGCCCTGCTCTTGCCCTCCAGTGAGTCTCTGCTCTCCTGGGCAGGGAACCAGCATCCTGTCCAACTTATAAAACCACCTTTTGCCCATACACATGCATTAACACGTATGTGTGCATGTGTATTATTTGTATGGCACGATGCCCATGTATGCCTTTTCTCTGTTATGTAAATAAGATTACATTTGGCTCTGGTGTCTAGGTATCTGTCCTCGGACATCCACAGGTGGAAAATGTGGTCAGGTATACTTAACAGCTACTGAGCATGTGCCAGCTTACCTTTCCTGTCATTAATCCTGGAACGGTATATCTTAGTGGCTATTCACAAAACACTTGCATTGTTTTAGGGGTTATGAGCCATCTAGAGATGATTTAAAGTGATTGGGAGGATGTTATATGTAAGTACTGTTCATTTTATATAAGGTCTGAAGCACCTGCGGGTTTGGAGTTCCCCGGAGGTCCCGGAACCAACCAACATACTCCAGGGCATGACTACATCAGAGATTAAAAAAAGTCTGGAGAGATGGCTGAGCAGTTATGAGTGCACAAGACACAGTTTGACTCCCAGCACCCACATGAGCAGTCTCTTACAACTGCTTGTAACTCCAGTTCCAGGAGACCTGGTTCCTCCTGGCTTCCTGGGATTCCTGCACTCATATGCATATACCTGTTTGCATACATGCACATCACTAAAAAAAAAAAAATTTAAAAATAAGGTGAGTGCATACACGCACACCTACCCACACACTTTGACTGAGAGTGTGAGGCAGAGGTACAGTAATAAAGTCTAAGGTCCCTTCAGCCCCTAGCAATATTGGCAGGGAGATTGTACACC